TGCAATAATCTCTCATTGATTATCTTATAATAGATGTAAGAGTTATACAGTTTGTAACAAAATGATAGCCACATTGAATTGGTCTGATTTTTATTTTCTATGTATTGAAGACTAAAAAGCAGTGTTGCTATAGAACATGCAGAAAGCTAAAATATTTATAACTAAATAATAATAGAAATAAAATAACAAAAGTATAGACACAGTTACCATAATTGTAAAATTTAAGATAAAAATGTAAAACTAATAAGAAATATCATCATTAGTTCAAATGACTGCAATACAACTGTTGCACATTGACATCATCAGACAATTCAATGATGATATTGACATTATCTCATAGCATGACCTGCTGAGCTGAGCTGAGAAAATAAACTGTATCATCGTTGTAGACAGTTTCATATTTTCTATTGCTCCAGGTGAAATGATGCTCTAGACTGCACACCATTTTATCCCAAATATTCTCAATAGAATTGAGAACAGAGTGAAGTGCTAGCTATGGCAACAACTGCACATTATGAATGGAAAACCATTTTAAAGTAGAGCGGACTTTACAGATGCTAGCATTATCCTGCTGGAAAACAGGATTATCTCCTGATATGATACCTCCTAAATTTGCTCTGCCTTTGCTATTATACTCTCACCTGTCGAAAATAAAAACCGAAGCAAAATTAACGAGTGCCTGCCCGATAGTCTCGCGAATACTATAAAAGAATTTTTTCTGTCAGAAAAACAAAAGGCTGGAATTACAAGGGAGAGTTTCAAAGTTCGGAGGAATACTAATCCGATCAGTATATACCGGGTTGAGCATCGATGTCGACGTCTCCCGCGCTCCGAAAAGTTCCGAATTGTTGCCTGAAGACAAGGAATTTTATGTTGCTGCTGCTTGTGTTTGTTCTGTGAGGTGTTCGTTGTCTGAACATAAAAATCTTTCGAGAAAAGTGTTCGTTAATCGATCACCCACTGTATACTTTAAATTGACTTTTTCAATAAATCAATTAGTATTTTGAAAAATATTCATTAAAATCAAATTTAATGAAAGTTCAATTAGTAATTTTTAGATATTCGTAAAAAGTTTGGAGAAAAGATATTGAAATTTTTTATAAGAATAATTAGATCAAACAAGTAAGTTTGATTAAAACAAAAGAGCAGGCCAGATGCATGTATTTGGCAATTTCGGGATTCTTATCTTTTTAATTTCGGGATTCAATAATTCAATATAAATTGATTTTAGTTCAATCTTTATTTTACAGGAAACAAGTGTATATCAGTATTGAAGTTGCATGTAAACCGTAACACTCGAGTTACAAATAATGATTGTGTGTTATGAAAAATTATGATTATATAGCAATTAGTGTTCTCTCAAATTAGCCGAAACGATTGAATTCGAAAAATTAAATGCCGAACATGTTTTTTTTCAAAATGTTTTGAACTAAAAGTTTGAATTAGTGATTAGGTAATTTTTCGTTTTTAAATATAAAACATTTGAGGAAAAATATTTTTAAAAAGTGCTGTTTATCTATAGTAAAAACGAAGACCAACATAATATAATTGTCTATTTGTCGGTTATTATTTGAAAGTAAGATGAAAATTTCAAACGAATGAACATTAATGAGAGGGAGAATCCCTAAGAACCGCGACCTCAGATATACTTTTGATTAATAAAAATTGTGACTATGAGAGTTCAGCTCATTTATTTTTTTTTATAAAGTTGCAGAAAATAATAATAGAAATAAAATAACAAAAGTATAGACACAGTTACCATAATTGTAAAATTTAAGATAAAAATGTAAAACTAATAAGAAATATCATCATTAGTTCAAATGACTGCAATACAACTGTTGCACATTGACATCATCAGACAATTCAATGATGATANTTTAAGATAAAAATGAAAGTTAAATACCCTAAATAATAATTTAAACAATAATAATGAAAACAATACATAAAATACATAAATGCTGTATAATAAAATTAAAATTGCATTTTATTATTACAGTATTTACTGTATTTTAGTGAGGAGAGGTGATGGTTTGTTTGTTAAGGTCATTATGTAGCTTCCTCACAAATAATCATCTTGGACATATTGCCAGCAAATTGCTTCTCATTTATCTATACTAGGAGGTGTTTTTCCATCTCAATAATGTGCAATTTCCTGGAGGTCAACGTTGTCACATCTTTAGCCACATTTTCTGCTTTTATCATGTCCTTATTAATAAGATGGTGCACACTGCTGACTTCAGCATCTTAAACATGACCACCAAAACTACCATATGTGAACTGAGAACAGAGTACCTCTTTCTTGTTTTTAAAAAAAGTTCCTTTTTCATCTCAATCGTTGATACAACAACCTTCCTTTTAGGCTTTGTTGCTTCCACACACTTCTTGGATGCCATGGTTATATATGTAACCAAACATCAAAAATACAGTGAAAAAGCACTGAAAGCACAAGTGTAATGCAAGAGATGCTTTCACATTGAGAGAGAGATGACAGGTACACAATAGATGGCATTTATACAGCAAGTGTGCGATGTCACTGCACATGTAGTTTGAAAGTACTACACTGAATGTAGCATTTGCTAAATTATACCTTGAGTTCAAACAAACTGGAATGTTTGGAGTATGAGGTATCACTGTACTAAGAAACATTGCAGGGCTAGATTGTATATATTCTTATTTAAAAAATAATTAAGATAATTCCAGATCTAATAATTTGAATCCTTTAGTATTTTCTATACTGATAGGAATAATAGTAATTGTGAATGAGTGATCTTTCAGTCATAATTCCCCTTGTATGTTAAGTGATATTGGGAAACAAAACTTATTTTGAGGTTATTTACCAGTTTCCTGTGTGATCCCCATCGTCATATACCCGCTCTAGAGTTGTCATTGAAAAATATCAGTCTGGGTTTATACAGTTTAGAAGGTATCCTGTTCTGTTTTTTCCAGTTTGAAATTTATTGTAGATGCAATTTTGCATTAGTTTGAAATATTTAATGATTTCTTCTTTATTGAAAATGTTTAATTCTGCAATAATCTCTCATTGATTATCTTATAATAGATGTAAGAGTTATACAGTTTGTAACAAAATGATAGCCACATTGAATTGGTCTGATTTTTATTTTCTATGTATTGAAGACTAAAAAGCAGTGTTGCTATAGAACATGCAGAAAGCTAAAATATTTATAACTAAATAATAATAGAAATAAAATAACAAAAGTATAGACACAGTTACCATAATTGTAAAATTTAAGATAAAAATGTAAAACTAATAAGAAATATCATCATTAGTTCAAATGACTGCAATACAACTGTTGCACATTGACATCATCAGACAATTCAATGATGATATTGACATTATCTCATAGCATGACCTGCTGAGCTGAGCTGAGAAAATAAACTGTATCATCGTTGTAGACAGTTTCATATTTTCTATTGCTCCAGGTGAAATGATGCTCTAGACTGCACACCATTTTATCCCAAATATTCTCAATAGAATTGAGAACAGAGTGAAGTGCTAGCTATGGCAACAACTGCACATTATGAATGGAAAACCATTTTAAAGTAGAGCGGACTTTACAGATGCTAGCATTATCCTGCTGGAAAACAGGATTATCTCCTGATATGATACCTCCTAAATTTGCTCTGCCTTTGCTATTATACTCTCACCTGTCGAAAATAAAAACCGAAGCAAAATTAACGAGTGCCTGCCCGATAGTCTCGCGAATACTATAAAAGAATTTTTTCTGTCAGAAAAACAAAAGGCTGGAATTACAAGGGAGAGTTTCAAAGTTCGGAGGAATACTAATCCGATCAGTATATACCGGGTTGAGCATCGATGTCGACGTCTCCCGCGCTCCGAAAAGTTCCGAATTGTTGCCTGAAGACAAGGAATTTTATGTTGCTGCTGCTTGTGTTTGTTCTGTGAGGTGTTCGTTGTCTGAACATAAAAATCTTTCGAGAAAAGTGTTCGTTAATCGATCACCCACTGTATACTTTAAATTGACTTTTTCAATAAATCAATTAGTATTTTGAAAAATATTCATTAAAATCAAATTTAATGAAAGTTCAATTAGTAATTTTTAGATATTCGTAAAAAGTTTGGAGAAAAGATATTGAAATTTTTTATAAGAATAATTAGATCAAACAAGTAAGTTTGATTAAAACAAAAGAGCAGGCCAGATGCATGTATTTGGCAATTTCGGGATTCTTATCTTTTTAATTTCGGGATTCAATAATTCAATATAAATTGATTTTAGTTCAATCTTTATTTTACAGGAAACAAGTGTATATCAGTATTGAAGTTGCATGTAAACCGTAACACTCGAGTTACAAATAATGATTGTGTGTTATGAAAAATTATGATTATATAGCAATTAGTGTTCTCTCAAATTAGCCGAAACGATTGAATTCGAAAAATTAAATGCCGAACATGTTTTTTTTCAAAATGTTTTGAACTAAAAGTTTGAATTAGTGATTAGGTAATTTTTCGTTTTTAAATATAAAACATTTGAGGAAAAATATTTTTAAAAAGTGCTGTTTATCTATAGTAAAAACGAAGACCAACATAATATAATTGTCTATTTGTCGGTTATTATTTGAAAGTAAGATGAAAATTTCAAACGAATGAACATTAATGAGAGGGAGAATCCCTAAGAACCGCGACCTCAGATATACTTTTGATTAATAAAAATTGTGACTATGAGAGTTCAGCTCATTTATTTTTTTTATAAAGTTGCAGAAAATAATAATAGAAAGGAGGGAAAATTAACTTTTATAGTACGAGTGAATAAATCAATAACTATTTAATATTAAAATCGTTTTTTTTTGTACAAATGCAAATAATAGTTTATGGCTTTAGACTAGAATGAAAAATACCGACCCATTTACATAAGAACTTAAAATAAGTTATAAATGCAAGGAATATCTGCGAATAGTCTATTAAGAATGCATATAATAATTACGTGCCGCCTTGAATAATTGTTCGTATTTTATATTTATAGGTCACGATCCCATTCTCATTCCCATTCCCCCCAAGAAAACGATCAGACTAGATTAAGCGACAAACAAGATCAATCCCCGGAATGTCCAGCGGATTCCGAAGACGAAAGAAAATCTCCAGAATAAAATTAAAAACAACCGTCATTCTTTTCTGGTCTGTGTATGTTTTATTAAGAGTGTACCATCTGCACGGTCATTTTGTGACAGTATACTTTGTTCTTAATTGGTGTTTTTTTATGTAGTAACCTGTTTCGATTAAATGAAACGAGAATGGTTAGTTTAAACACTTGGCTTTTTACAGCATAAATAAAGTAACTGTTTTTAATAAATTATTGCCAAAATTTTTGTCTGTGTATACACACACGAGAGACGCCTGTGTGTTTAAATCATTATATACACACAAAGGGAAAGGCCGCGATTTTCAATGATAATTTTATTTACAAAATATACAGTTTAGAAATAGCTGAAATTATGGGATGACATAAAAAGTCTCGATTTTCCGAAACTTGTGATATGTGCGATTTTATTCGTACACATTTTTTCCATTGGCGGGAAGACCCTGGGACTGTCTCCAGCGTGCCAGTCGATGTTCAAACCATGTCTGAAAAATTTAGAGTACACAAGTTAAATTATTTAAAGTGTAGGAAGATATTTTAAATTCCAGTTTTTTTTACATTATAAATGAACCTCGTGAATTCAGACACGTGTTCAATTAAAATTGCTCGGTTTATTGTTTTTATAAATGACGTTTGTTTTCATATAAATTAATATGGAACTTGACACGTAACAAAAATCAACCCACCTTGACTTCTCTAGGGCTTAATCCGACTTCGGCCGCTAATATCACGAGGTCAGTAGGATGAACATTCTTATTTTCCTGAAACACTTTCTCCAATTGATGTTCCTGATAACTTTTGGTAAGAGGAAGTTTATAAGCGGGCGACAACTGAGCGTGAATCGCAGACATTTGGAATTTGTCCGATTTCTCCGTAATCCGTTTTATAAATGCCACCTGCCGATGACGTAGAAATGACCTTGGCACTCTGCCCAGGGTCGTTATGACATCACGAGACAAGCCGGTAGCCAGGGTCGCCACTTCACTCCCCCACTCAACCTAATTTTCCTCTTCGTCCCGCACTTTTGCCATATAAGGATGTATCGGAGGTGGTCGCAATGTGTTGCGTTCGATGGCAAACGGCTTTTCGAGTTCTTTCACGTTCGTCGGCAAATTTATGAACAAATCTTTATCACATATAAACAAAATGTTTATTCAAAATATTAACACTGCCGTATATAATGTTCGTATTTTACAATTACGGAATTTTAGTAACGTGGCCCTTTACCGTCCATTGATTTTAAGCTTAAATTGTAAACAATCTCATTTAAATTTGAACATTAAGCACAAATTATCAAAGTTGTGTCGGCGAAACATTTCTCGCGAATATAAATGAATGGAAGCCATTTTTTAAAAAATGGTTTTACCGTTTCACAATTATGCCGAACAGTGTAATTACCCGTAGAAATTAGGGTCAATGCATGGATTTTGTAAATCGCCCTTATTTCTTAAAAAGTTGTCGACCTCACGATTTTAATAATATAATCATTAGCAAACTACTTATTCTAAACGGTTGCGCGTGTCGTCATCAAATATTAACGTTAATGTCATTGCATATTTGAGTCTCGCCTGTCGAGGGTTTTCCCCCTTCGTTTTAAGTGGACTCGTTTACATCAGATGTAGTGCGATGGCACGAAACTCGTTGGTTTCACCTATTTTCACACGAAAAATTGCGAAAAAGTCCAAGTTAAGAAAGTTTTGTGCCAAAAATTCTTTAACGCACTTCCGTTTCGGGAGAAAAAAATTAACAACGCAACATTATTCCTAACTTCCTCCTTTACGATCGAAGGTCAAAATAGGTATTGCATAATTTTAGACGTTGCGTATATCGAATTTACGCTGGAGGCATTAAAAAAAAGTGTGTAAGAACAATTTTATAAACTACATAAAATCGAAACATTTTCCTCTAATTTAAAAAATTTATTAAACTAAACCCATTACAAAAGCTTTCGATTATATCGTATAAAACAATACGCTTACATAATACACTATTTGAAAAAAGTTGTGCTGATTGTAGTTGTGTACTACAAGAAAAACTTGCATTAAATAAATGTGCATCAAAAATGATACAATCAACATATATATATAAATGTTGCATAAACATTCTTCCAAGTGTTAGTCATGTGAATTTCTCAAAAACATTTTTTATAGATAAATCATATCCTGCAGGAAACATTTACATTTTAAACTAAATATATAAAAAAATTACATTTACATTTTTCAATTTAAAAAATAACTGCAATAAGTCAGTAAACTGATGATTCACCAGTTTACTGACTGAGTTTAAATGAATAATTTGCATTCTTAGTGTAGTTATGTTCTTTTTCACACCACCAATTTTTAAAAAAGCCTTGTTAATGGATAACAAGAAAGAAAAACTTATTTTTACTTTTTTGTAGAAAAAGGTCTCAAATATTTTATTTAGCAAATTATAACTGTTTAATCAATTAATTACATAATTATTAATTAAAAAATATTTCTATCGTAATTTTTTGACTAAACTCATAAAATTTTGACTAAGCTTCATAAAATTCATGTTCAATATTCTTATATATTTAGATCTCTTTTCTAAAATAAATGTTGTATTTAAATGAGTATAAATTCAGACATTCAAAAATTATAAAGGAAAAAATGTTTCATCTGCCATATTAAATACTTAGTGCAATTTGTGTTTCATTTAAAATATGTTGTTGTAGGTATTAGCAGATAACAAAATTCACATTGTGTGACTTATTGCAGTTAATAAAAGCTCTTGCTCTATTAATAAATCTGTCCACATTCTGGATGTCAGTACTACCTGCCAGTGGAGGATCTGGATTCGAATCAATGCATATTCCTAAAATTACATGAACTGAAATTTATAACCTATCCACTCAGGATGGACTAGACTAGTCTATGATTAAGATATATGGCTAGCAAAAATTTAATGTGTTTTGCAGTGATTAATTGATCCATTTATCATCTGTTTTTTGACATTGCTATTGGCAGTAATCATCTTAGACATTAATATTACTTTATTGCTGACCATTATGACAGTATTAGTTAAATTTTATTAATTATAAAAAAAATGTGTGTGATATATTCAAATTAATTGGAAAAAAATTAAGGTTGAATGAAAGAATTGGTCTTGTTAGCCATTAATCTTTACAATACTGTTAGGTAACATGTTTTTTCTATGGCAAATGACAAATTGCACATACTACTAATATATAATTATGTTTTGATAATATAAATGCGAATATGATATTGACGATTAAAAAAAAGATATGCAAATACTATGCAACTAGAATCTATTTACCTGGTAGGTTCCAAAGACCAGATACGAGTCAACATGACAGTTTAGCTGATTAGTGCATTTGGTGTAATGTAAAATGTTTAACTGAACAAAAAATTATAACTACATGCCAAATTTATAGCCAAGAACAGGTTTTCAAAATGTTTATGCAATTTACATTATACATCAATTTAAAATGTAATGTTTTAAATAAATAGATAATAAATAAAACAGTAATACATTACTTAGAAAATAAAATTATGCCTCTACCATAATTAAATAACTAAATACAGTAATAATATCTAATCACATCTTTTACAATAATTCTTAATTTATCACAGGTTATTAAAAATATCTGATTCCTATTGCAGATAGAATTAACATTTTTAATAGACAAAATATATGGAAAAAATAAAGTTAAATGCATTACAAATAATGAATTATTATAAATTTAAAAATTGTCTAATTTAATAAATAATTCACAATTACATTTACAGAATTTTGTAGAATAAAACAATTTTTTTTAATACAAAAATATATGCTATAGATATTCCTGATACAAAATATTTACTACAGACAATTATAAATTAAAGAATAAAAAATAGTTTGTAAAATTTTATTTTCTGCAACTATTATAATAGTCTGAAACTTAAATCATAGTTTTTTATAAGAAGGTTATATACTTACTATGCTAATTTAACAATTTTAGTTACAGAGGCAGCTTTGTATTCTTAGAATAAAATAGTTTTTGAATGTAAATTTTTGATTTTAAAATAATTTTTTTGCCAAATTATTTTCATATGGAATAATATGATAACATGTAAATCAATCATCTTGGTTAATATTAATTAATAAATGATGATTTATTATTTTTTTTATTTACATTCTATAACAATGTTTTATAAAAGTCAGTCTTTACAGATATTTTTTTATGAGTTATTGTTAGAAAAAAGAATTTAATGGGATAATATTGTTTTTGACAATTATAGCACCAAATAGTGATAACAATGAGATTCATTATTACTAGGGCTCTGTTTCAGCCTGAATGCATTGGTATGCTGGTATGCCATACAGGTAGATAGCACAAAAAGGTATCATAGCCAGTATGTAGCAATGGCAGTAACTTTTTAGAAAAGAAGCACTAATAATTATTATTAATAAAAATTAAATTCATTTAAGATAAAATAATGGTGTAAATTCCTTTTAAAAAGTAAGCAATATTAACCTGTTCCACTGTATATCAAAAATTATATTGATATAGTTTTGCATATACACACAAATTATAATCAGTTTATACTAATCTCAAGGCACTTGATATATTTTTGATGCTTTGATTTAAAAATAAAATAAAATTGTAATAAAATTATAAATAAAGATTTAATGTATTCCTTTAAATCACAGATTTATTCACATCCAATAATATAAGGGTAACCAAGTTACTATACCAAGTTTAGGATACCGGTGGAAGACTTAATATAAGGTCACATTAATATTCAGGTTGTATAGCTAATATTGCAACCTGAATATCTTTATTAGAATTATCCCAAAGGCTGATTTGAATGAGTATATAAGATGATTCTCAGTGGATAAAGTAAACTTCCTTAAGATAAGCTGATCCTTGAATACAGAACTGAGAACAATTTGACAGATAATACAATGTTTGCAATTCTGTAAGATACAAAATACACTGTCTATTTGCTTGTCTTTTTTTGATGAATTATCTTTTATTAATGGCTGGAGAATTTAAAATTAAAAGAAATATTGTTGGAATTTCATTCTAACAATTGGGTACATTCAGAAAATAAGCAGCACTAAGGTACTCTAGCTAAACTATTCTTACATGATGTCTCTGTGTCAGTGCTTTCTTGGAGCAATCTGCCATTGTTCAAGTGGATATTTACTCTGCTGCATCAAACATTTTAGTTTGGCATATTTTTTCATTCTGACTGTTTAAAAATGAGTGAAAACAAATTTAAAATTCAATGAAGAAGTCTTCAATATAACCATAAGTGTGGAAGAACAAAAACATTTATATATAGTAACTTCTGTATTTGTAATTTTTTAACATTACACTTTTAAAATACTATACATCTGTCAGTTAAAGAACCAAACACATCTAGCCAACTGTAACAGTGCTAGACTACTAAAGCACAACATACTTTTTGTTCAATGAACATGCCCATTATTAGAAAATATAAAATTTATACTAAAATGAAAAAGAACATGTTTTAAAATTTGTATATTAAAAAAAGATGTAATTCACTTCACTTTTTCATAAGGATGCAACATAATTTATAAAATCAATGAATTCCCAATTATGTAAACACTTTTGCATAATATTGTAAACACACTAAATTTATTAGTAAAATCTAGAAAAATAAGTCTTAAGATATCAGAAAGATATTAAAAAAATATAAGAAAAATCAGCAAAATAATTACTGTAATATATACTTGTAATTATATTTCATAGATTCAGTATTTACAAATTTTGCCAGAAATTAAATTCTATAAAAAACATATTTCCTCTTTAATTATAATGTAAATATATTAGTACTTTCCAGCATATTTTTAGTGTTAACACTAAGGAATTTACAATACTGTTTATAATGTTATGGTTTACATCGCATTGGTTTAAAATATTGTTTAAAATAATTTTTATATTGCTTACAAGTTAGACATTAAAAACCCTTATGATGCTTTCGTATTAAATAAAGAGATTTTAACAGTCAAATTTAATAGGATTCTTTATTGGTTATAAAATTGAAATAAACAATTTAGTTTTGTTGNTTACAAATTTTGCCAGAAATTAAATTCTATAAAATAGAGAAATTTTTAAATTGTTATT